TAAAAACTTTTTTAAAAAATTACACATCATTTCAGGCACTGAGATCAGTGGGACCCCAGGCCACTTCCCATGCAGGTAGGGCCCACCATGCAGTGTGCTGAGGTCAAAGAGGCTGTCGCACTAATCCAACCAGAAAACAACATCTGGAAAAAGCAGAACTTTCACTTCTTCGAAAGCTGGCGAGAAATCTGAGTGAGGGACTCGGGAAACAAAGCTTAGAAGGCATAAAGGGGCAGAAAAGGAGGAATGGAAATGGGGAAGCCCGGGAGGAAAGGAGAAAAGTGTTTTTACATTGAGAGGATTGCAACCAAAGTCACCGAACAAACTGTACAAACTATTCAATGGGACACTGATGTGCTTCAGAAATTCACACATACAAATGGGGGGCTTCAAAAGGTTCATGGAAAAATGAAACTAAAAGATAATAAAATTGTTCCATGTACTTTCTGAAGCTCCCGTGTGCGTATGTGTGTATAGCTATCTATCCATCTATCTATCCATCCATCCATCCATCTATCTATCTATCTATCTACCTATCTATCTATCTATGTTGTGTGTTTGTATATCTATCTATCTATCTATCTATCTATCTATCTATCTATCTATCTATCTATCTATCTATCTATCTACCTACCTATCTACCTATCTATCTATCTATCTATCTATCTATCTATCTACCTATCTATCTATCTACCTATCTATCTATCTATGTTGTGTATTTGTATATCTATCTATCTATCTATCTATCTATCTATCTATCTATCTATCTATCTATCTATCTATCTATCTGTGTTGTGTGTGTGTGTGTATACACTTCCATACGATAACCATGGACTAAGAACCACAAGGTCTGCAGTTCAAGTCCACCGGCTGCTCCATGGAAGAAAGATGAGGCTTTCTGCTCCCAAGTTAAAGCCTTGCAAACTCTACACAGGATCACTGTATGTCAGAACCGACTCAATGGCACTTAACAGCAACCATATATCTATTTATATAAATGTACATATATATAAATATCATATGCACACACACACATGGAAAAGTGAAAAAGTATTGCTAGTAGGGTTTCAAATCAAACACGCACAGGTTACTCCAAACAGACTTGTCTTTGCGAGCAGTGGATGGCTGCAGCCATTCTCTCAAGAATACACTTGCTTAGTCTCGTTAGGGTAGCTTCAAAAATCGGTCCATTAAAACAGTGGCTTCTGATGGGAACTACTGGGCCAGTTCAACTCAAGACACAAAGAGCAGCTCAGAAAGTTAGAGCAACTGCTTTGGGGGATTATACAACGGTAACCTTGATAGAGTTTCTTGAAGGGCACAGGACGAGCACAGGTACTTAATATGACAACGTTTTAAGACAACGGAAAACTGCATTGGTGAGAAAGAGCCAGGACAGTTGGGCTGAGGAATTCTTTTTCCATCACAACAATGTGCCTGTTCACTGGGGGCAGGAAGGGCTGTACTAGGAGAATTTCATCGGGAAACCTTATCCCAACAATCCTACAGTACTCATCTTGCCTCTTCAGACCTCTTTTTGTTCCAAAAACTTAAAGATCATTTAAAACCTTTGGGTCCTTTGAGGACGTTCACACTGTCAATTT